CACCTCCCACCCCCACCCACCCTGCCGTCAACAACCCCACCCATCAGGCACCCTTGACTTCTACCCTGACCCACTTTGGTCTCATCTGTGTGGACCGAGAGGGAGGCAGAGATCCGTCAGGCGACCCAAGACCCAGCTCACGCCCCCCTACAGGACCCTCTACCCTCCTCCAGCTGCCACTTACCGGCCACGCGCACCGTGATGCGCCGCGCGTGGCGCCCGTGCGCGTTGGTGGCTGCGCACTCGTACTCGCCGCCGTGGCTGCCCATGGCGCCCGCCACGCTCAGAGTGCTGTTGTTGCTCGACAAGCCGAAGTTGAGGGCCCCCGCGTACTCGCCGCCGTGGCTGCCCATGGCGCCCGCCACGCTCAGAGTGCTGTTGTTGCTCGACAAGCCGATGTTGAGGGCCCCCGGGGGCGCGCGCCAGCTGATCTGGGCTGGAGGCCACGCCTCGGCGCGGCAGGTCAATGTGAAATTCCCGCCTGGCCGCACGCCTCCAGGAGGCGAGGCGGCCAGCTCGGCCACCACTGGCCTGTCTGCAGGGGACAGGGTGTTAAGGAGGGCTTAGCGCCGGCCCAGACGCTGACCAGTGCCCTCAGGCTCACCCACCACTTATTTGAGACCACCCCTTCTAGGATGTGCAGGAGAGCCCCCTCCCCCCACAATCTGGCTGTTGTTGGGACTAAAATTCTGGGCCCTTCTTCACTGAATGGGGGGGGGGTCGGGGAGGAGGGACCACGCCAGTGTCCTTCTGATCCAGGATTTGAGAAGGACCAGGCTCCTGTTACCTAGAATTGTCATTGCCCCCAGTTAGGCCGGGATTCCCTGCCCCTGAATGTGACTGGGAGAGGAGACCCTGAACTCCCGAGGGCTCTCCCACAGCTGCAAGTCACTTTTCCAGGGACTGAGTCCCCTCAATTTGGTGCTGCCCCACTCACATTCCACGCCCACGGTGACGGTCCGAGAGTCTGTGCCGTGCGCGTTGGTGGCCACGCAGACATAGGTGCCCGCGTCCTCTCGGGATATGCGCTGCCGCTTAGGCCGGGGTGCGCCCTCCCGGGAACAGCGCACTCCTGGGAAGGGGCGACCCCGGGCGGCGCAGGCCAGCGCAGCAGCCTCAGCCCCTTCCAGCCACGTCTGGTGACTTGGGCAGGTGGACTCATCCATCTGCGGCGGTGCTGCAAAGCAGCCACGGGGGGCGTGAGGGAGGGACCCCGACTGTGGGACACCTCTACTTCCCACCCGCCT